AGTTCCCAAAGATCTGACGTTTTAACCAGAGGACTGGGGAGGGTTGAAGTGCACTCCAGGGGTTCCACAGAGTTGAAGCCAGAATATACCCAGAATAAAGTCCTTTGAAGTCTCACATTTTATACTCTCCATTCTTGCCAATTTTGCATTCACTTTCATCAGCCTATCCATGTGAGTTCTCATATAAAGATTTTCAAGTACTTACCAGTGACACCCATTAACCTACCCTTGTGCAACCCCCCAACAGTGAAAATCTTCGAGTGAAAATGTAGCTCTAGATTCAGTCTGTGGCACTGAGCCTCCTGGCCAGTCTCCTGGTGCACTGGGGTGTCTGTCACCCAAGTATTCAAGGCCCTTCATAGCCTGCCCGCAGTGACCCCTTCCAGAGGCAGCCAAGCCTCCCACCCTGGCCTTGTTCTTTGCCATGTGTCCCTAGCCACCCTTCCCATCACAGACAGCTAGATCTTTCTACAGTCCAAACCTGACCCAGTTCCTCCCCGGTGGCTCTCTAGTGCCTCTGGAAAGGAGTCACAGCTCCTCAGCATGGTGGCTGGCATCCACCCACTCCTTGGGCTCACTCATCACTACCCACCCCTTCTTCTACCCTGTGCTCCAGCTACACAGAACTTCGACCAGCTCTCCAAGAGTACAACCTTCTCTCCCTTTCTTGTGTTTTGCACACGATGTTCTCTCTCCTTGGGAGACCCTCTCTTCTCCTGGCTCTTTTTGTATATTCCTCACGTACGCAGGGCCCGGTGCAAAATGAAAATGTGGAGTCCTTTGTTCAGAAATTGTTAAGAATTTTGTGATGGCGACAGCAGGGCGTTCAGCCAAGCACAGGGCCCTTCTAAATGTGAGGTGCTATGGGACTGCACAGGTCATACTGCTATGAAGCTGGCCCTGCATTCGGGAAATCATAGACTCTCCCCACCTCCTATGCCAGGCCCAGTAAGGAGCCCATTCTGGGCTCCCAAAGTCCCTTGGGTTTAGACAGGTCTTAATCAATCTTGCCTGTGCTTCCCCCATCCCGGCACTCTCCACCCTGGGATGCCACTGCCTGGTGAGGATGTATTTCCTCCACTGGACTGGAACTATGTGAAGGTGGGGTGTGGGGCTGTGTTGGTCACCACCGTGTTCCCGGCGTCACCCTGTACAGGTCTGGGCAACACCAAGCACTGACCACCCATCCTTGCTTTTGTGAAGCATGACAGACACTAGGGAGGAATCAAAGGCAGAGGCCATGCTCATGTTCAACCCGGAAGAGAAACATCCCTTTTCGGAGGATCCCTTTATCTGACTCTCCCATATATGTGCCCATGGACAGAGCTGTGAAAGCCTGGCATTAGCTCAGGCCCTGCAAGGAAGGGATCACAGACACCGAGACACTCGGGGCCTGCGTTAGATTAGCCGCACCCAGACACAGAGGTTGAATGTGACAGCATGCAGACGGGGGAGTGTCCTGGTATCAGGACTACAGTTACTTCGAGAAAACGCTCCAATAGCCTGGAACTTTGGTTTCAGGGAACCTGGTCTCAAAAATATGCAAGACATTCTGAAAGCCACACAGGGGGTGGGCCGCGGAAGGAGTAGTAGCCCTCCCTACGTTCAGGAAATTGGTGCACCCCGCTGGGCGGTGTTGGACAAGCTACATTTTAACTTTAAAGTCTAGATACATGTGACCATTTGACCATAGTAGTACTGTTCCTGCATGGTGCTGGGGGATAGTCCAGGCACCCTCTTGCGGAGGCAGAGGGGTCCATGCTAGAGGAACTAGCCTGCCTGCATGTGTATTTTCCCACATTCCTTTCTTCCAAACTTGTAATTAGCTACCGCTTGGTGTGTGTCCCCTTCCAGGCCTGCATTTCCTCGTGTCCACATTCCCTCCAACCAGCCACAGCCTCTGCCTTGGAGAGCCGACGTCCACTGTCTGCTTGGTACCTGAACCTGGAAAAGGTTCTTAATTCCCACGCTTCCTCATCTAAGGGCTGGATCCTTGGTATCAGACACCAGGGCCCTACAGCTCTTCCTGCCAGTCTCTGCAGTCTTGCCTAAGAGCTAGGTTATTGGATAGGGTCCACATTGTCCTCCTCCGTATAGGGGATAGAGGCCTCTGGTGAGGTAGCCTCAAGTCTCTCTCCAGTCCATCCACTTCAGGCCCCAACCTGATCTGGGTCAGCCTTCTGCCTGGACTACCACAGTGGCCCCTTCCCTGGGCTCCCTTCTTCACTTCTGTCCCCCGTGTGCAAATAGACCTACCACTGGAGCTTCCTGAAGATCAGGGGGCACGACTCTGTTCAAAACCTCCAACGGCTTCTCATATCACTTAGAAAATCTGGACTCTTCCCAGCAGTCTACAGGGTCCTGCATCATCTCCGCCTTCACACTTTCCAGCCTCAACACAGCATCCTTCCCTCACCCTACCTCAGCACCCACTTCAGTCCCTTTTATTCACCATGCATCCCTCAGTCCCTACACTTCTGAACAGCATGTGCACGAGGTACCCTTTCCACCCCGTGTAGTTGACTCCAACCTGAGCATCCTTCAGATCTCAGCTGAGTAGTCACTTCCTCCAGGAAGCCTCTCTCAATCTCTCTTCTTGGGTCAGGTCTCCTGGTTATAGGGTCTCACCGTTCCCATGAATCTCTCCTGAAGGCTCCCCTCCCCGTCACCACAGTGGCTTTACACTTGCTTGTGTGATTGTTTCCCCACCAAATGGTGAGATATGTGAGGTCAGGACCTGTGCCTATATTTTCTCAGTACTGAATTCCCAGTACACTGCACGAGTAGGCACACACTAAATTGTTTAAATTTTAAAAAAAAGGGTTGAGAAATGGTGCGCTCTGGCTCCCCCTCATGCCAGCAACTGGTATTTTGTAGCTGGCACTAGATCTCCAATCTTCCCCCTCCCTAGGCCCCCCTTGGCCAAGACACCTCATGCTCCCTGCTGGCTTCACCTGACCTCAGCCACCGAGGGTAACAAACAAGGACCTCATTATGCTGCTGGAGGAGCTGCTCGGGAGTCAGATCAGGTCCCTGGGACTCAGGTTGTTCCCATGGCCAATGGAAGATCATTTTCAAAGCCTACACCCACCAAGAAAACTGTTAAAGAATCTAGGGTTCTATCCCATGAGGACGAGGTCATGTGCACCAGGTCATGCGGATCGCCAGCCCAGTCTTGGGCCCTCTTCACCATGCCCCTCACACTAGCATCACTCCAGAGAACACTCAGAGGACTTAAGTCCTTCTCCCCCACCCCCATCTCTGCCTTTGGACCCACCACCACAGGTGGACTGGGGCCAGAGAACACTATTCCTTTTACTGCCCATCTCATTCCTGGATATCCAATGAGGCCTGGTGTTACCAAGGCCCAGGGTTTGGGCTTCCAAACCTCCAGGTCTGGTGCCTGAGAGGGACCTAGGGCAGCCCAAGACAGAGTGAGGACCAGCCTTGCAGAGACATAGGGCTGAAAGGTCCAGATCAATCTGGACCAGGCCTTAGGCCCACAGAATCACAGGATCTACACTCCCTAACTACACTTTCTTACCTCCTACTCTCAAATCAGCTGAATCTGGCACCTGCCCAACCAGCCCCCTAACACTGCTCTCACTGAGGTCACTGTGGCCTTGGTATCATTAAACACAATTGTCACTTGGGTCTGACTTGCCTGGTTTGCTTCACTCTGTCCCTCCATCTGCTGCTCCTGCTTAGTCTCTGTCAGGTTTTTCTCCCTGTCCCTTAAATATGGGAAGTCCCATAGGCTGTCTCATGACCCTGATGGTCTCCATTTCCCATTCCCCATCTCGGATGATAGAGCCTCTTTTCTGTTCCCAGCTCCAGCCTCAGACCAGGGTCCCAAGGTCTCCTGGCCGCCACCCCCTGGACGTCCTCTGTCCCCAACCCCCGCATTTACCAAGTCCCCCCCCTGGCTTCAGCATCTTCCCCAAACCTGCACCTCCTTCCTGGTTCTATATCAGGTGGCTCCAATGTCCCCTCCCCTGGCCAGAGCCCTGGGCCTCACCCTGGACACTTCCCTACCCCACAAACCCTTCAGCTCCATAACCCATCCATTCAGCTTCCTCTCTCACCTACCCCCTACTCTTTTCCCCCAGCCCTGTCCCACTCCAGCCTTGTCCTTACCCACCTGGGTGCCTGCCTTGGCTTCCCCCAGGCTCCCAGCTTCAGTCTTCCCCTCTGGTCCACCCTCCTCATGACAGCTGGAAAGATCTTCCTAAAGCCCAGTCCCTCCCTTGTCCCTCCTCTGCATAGATCCTCCATGGATCACCAATACTATCAGGCCAGTCTGATATCTTCAGCCTGGAGGTCCTGGACTCTGCTCACCTCTCCTGCCTTGTTTCTACCACAGTACCTCCACTGCCTGGCATTTACTAAGTCCTTGCTTGTGTTGGGCCCTGTGCTGGGAACAGCTTTCCCTTTCTTCTTGGCCTAATTATCTCCTTCGGAGGTCATGCTCAGATCTCATCTTTCCTCCAGGAAGCTTCCCTGACCACACCCTAGGCTGAGTCAGGCACCTTTCCTGGGCTCCCGTAATCTCCTAGGCTTCCCTCATCACCACATCTTGGATCGCTCCAAACTGTCACTGAGAAGGGCTTGAGGCTGTCTAGGTCATGGCAGCATCATCCAGCACAGGGCATGCCCAGGGAGCACGTTCAGGGAATTCTGTTGACTGAATGGATGACCATCCTTAGCCTCATCCAGGAACCTCAGACAGAATGGAGCAGGGGTCTCTCCCCAGAGGAGGCATTCCCAACTCCAGACCCCTGCACAATCCCCCCCAAACCCCACAGACAGAGACAAGGGCAAGGGCCTAGGCCCAAGCTTAGAAAAATAGGACTTTCTTGTTGTGCCCCGGTGCCCCCGACACCCTCCCCATCAGAGTTTTAAAAACCGTGAGCAATTTGGTGAGTCTGAGGCCAGGTCCCACAGGGTGCCTGGGTCCTCCCACCCCTGGGGCCAGAAGGGCCGTAGAGGTGGGTGCGAGGCTAGGGTCCCGTGGGTTCGTGGCTGGGCCTCCAGGGCTCACAGTCCAGCTGGACCACGGTGTGGGCCCTGGGCACAGCAGGCTCAGGGGCAGGCGGGGCCGGTGTGGGGCCCAGGGCGCCGTTGGTCTGCGAACAAACGCTGCTGACAGGTGCAGGTGCCTTGGCCTTGCCGGGGGGCTGGCCGCCGTGCACCTTGTAGCGCATGAGCAGCACGAAGATGAAGACCAGTACCGAGGCCACGATGACTCCACCAAGGGCGATGATCATGGTGCCGCCCAGGAAGGGTGCGTGCGGGGCCCCACAGGGCCGCAGCGCCGGCTCAGTGGAGAAGCGGGAGCAGCCCACTGGCCGTGTGGCCGTCAGCCCGGTGGCGCCGTCCTCGTACACCGCTAGCACGCACAGGTCATAGGTGCGGCCAGATGCGAGGTCTGACAACAGGAAGGAGCGGCTGTCGGCGGGAATCATCCTGGAGGGACAGGCAGGCAGGGGTCAGGTCTCTGGCCGCCCGGCACCCACCCTGCACTCTACCCCAACCCTGCAGTCTGGCGAATCCTCCCCCCACCCCCCACCAGTCCACTGCTACCCCGAGCTCCCTCTCACCACTGCTCAAATTCCCTTTCATCTGATACCCTTCAGCTGCCTGACTGATAACCTCTGGGTCATATGCTCCTGGCGCCTGCTGCTCAAATCCCCCAGTTTAATCTCCCTCCAGCCCCAGTGCCCAGATTCCCTCCCAGGCTGCTGCCCACTGCTTCTCTGCTCTGCTGCTCAGTTTCGCTGGAGCCTCACTGCCCAACTTCCCTCCAATCCCACCCCCCAGTCTCTCTCTACACCCTCGCTCAACTTCCCATCTTTCCCATCTGCCTCTCCTCCAGTCTGGGCCTGATTTCCCTTTTCCAACTGCCTGATTTTCCTCCAGCGTACAGCTAGAATTCTCTCATCTAGCCACCCGATTCCCCCATGCTGCTGATGCCTGATTTCCTTCTAACCTGCCAATGAATGTCCCCCTAGCCCCATTGCCTTATTATTATTGTTGTATCTAGGGCCTGCTTTCCAGTGAGCCCTGTCAGCTGATTCCGTTTTCATGAAACTGATGTGCCTCAGTCATCACAGCTGATTTCTTTTTCTCTCTGTTGCCTTATTTCTTCTTCCAGCTCTGTCTCTTGATTCCCTTATCTCTGTTGCCTGCTTCTTATTTATCCTTACCTTTCCCATTTCCTTTTATCCTTAGCACCCAACTCTACTTATTTCCTTTTGCAGCAGAGCACCCTGTGGGAGATTTAACTTGTTGTATAACCTGCTTTATTCCTCAACTGCTTTAATGAGGGAGTTACAGGGAACTCTGTGATTGTCTCTGAGAGGGTGGCTATCTAGAAGAGCACTTGTCTCATCCTCGCCAGGCAAGGTGGACAGGATTTGTGTGATTGTCAGGTGTGGGGCCCTCCATGGAGCCCACTCTCCCTACATGGAGTGCTGCTGTCTGAGAAAAGGAACAGAATAGCTCACTAGATTTCCAGGACTGAAAGGGGAATCAATTGACGATCTCTTGAGATGTGGGCCCCTGGGGAAGGAAAGTGGACCCAGGAACTGGGTTTATAAGGTGCACACCCCAGGCCCTGGGAAGCCCGATCCTCTACAGCCAGGCCTCAGGGACTGCACCCTTGGCCAAGCCTGGCAGCGGGAAGAGGGAACCGTCCATAGCCATCCATGCAAGTTAGACTTGGGTGAGAAGTGTCAGCAGCATCTGTGTCAGAGCCACCACTACTGGCCACATGTGGCCACAGCAGATGTTCCAAATGCTCTCGGCTCGGGGGCAGAAGATGTACTGATCCACTTCTTGGGGCTTATAAGCCCCAGGTTTTCTTCTACTGTTTGCAACAACTGAACAGAGACGGGAATCCCCAACAGTGGCAAAGTGAATGTTCCTGTTCACCTAGTAGGTGGAGCTTGAACTAGGTTTGATTTGATTTAGAAAACCAAAAATTGAGATGTCACATTAGAACACTAAACATGTGGAGTTCACACTGCACAAACCCAAAGCCTATTTAGCCTCCTCCCCCATTTTTCCTTTCAATCTGGTCTGAGTTCCTTTGCAGCAGGGCCCCCTCATTTCATTTTCCCCGTGAACTCTGTACCTTCCTGTTTGATCTCCTTTTCTTCTCACAGCATGGTTTGCATCTAGCCCTGTCATCTGGAAACAACTAGTTTTTCTTTATCTTTATATTTGATTTGTCTGTACCCCTCTACCTGGCTCCCCCCATTAACTTTGGACTCTTCTGGCCTGATTACTTTTACTCTTGCTGCCTGATTTCTTTTTTACATCTGTTACTATTTACTTTTGCTGCCTTATTTCTTTTTATCACTGCTGCCAGATTTCTTTTACCTTCAGCCTCATTTCTCAGCTGTGCAGCAACCTGGGGTGTCAATGGATGTATTTCCAACCCTCCCCCCACCTCAGTCTGCCACCCAAGCTACCCACTGCCTGGACCCTGCACCTGTAGACGAGGATGTCATCGGCTGAGCTGTTGTACTGGATCTGGTACATGCGGATCCCCGGGATAGGCCGCTGGTCTGGCCACTGGACAAGAGCAGCTGTGGCCCCATGCTCAGTCACCTGGACACCACGGTCCTTAGGGGGCGCAGTGTCAGCTGCCTTGGCGGAGGCGGAGGCAGAGGCAGAGGCAGCAGAGGGCGGGGTGAGGGCATCAGGATCCCCGTCCCGCGGGGGGTCACAACTGGTGCTGTTGGCTAGCTGGGGGGGTGGCGGGGGGCCCACGGTCAGCTCAACAGCAGCGGTGGCCTCACCAGCTGCATTGGCCGCAATGCAAGTGAAAATGCCACCATCGCCCGGCTCAGTGACCAGCAGCTCCAACGTCCCATTAGGGAAGGCACGAGCACGGCTCGAATTGCCCACCAGCCGGCCCTGGGGTGACACCCAACGCACACGGGGCTCAGGGTCCCCCACTGCCCGGCAGCGCAGGGCAGCTGGCCGACCTGCAGGCACTGCCAGCGGTGGCGAGCGGTGAGTCACCACAGGGGGCTCGCACACAAATTCCTCCTCGCCCACAGCCCAGAAGTAGCGGCCACCCAGAGCGGGTGGGGAGGCACAGGCCTCCAGGTCATCCTCCCTGGCCAGCCTCCGCAGCCACACCAGCTCGCAGTTGCAGTGGAGCGGGTTCCCACCGAAGGCCAGCACCAGGGCAGAGGCAGGTGAGCCTCGGGGCCTGGCTAGCAGCGGCAGGCGGGAGAAAAGTGGGTCGGGCGGGATGGTGGTCAGGCGATTGGAGGTCATGTCCAGCCGTGCCAACTTGTGCAGGCGGGAAAAGGCGCCAGCGGGCACAGAGGCTAGCAGGTTGTGGTCGAGGCCCAGTGTGTTGACATTGCCCAGGCGGCCCAAAGCCTCCCAGGGAAGCTGCTCCAGGTTGTTGTAGGAGAGATCGAGATCCTCTAGTGTCTCGGCGCAGTCATCCAGGGCACCGGCCGCCAGGGCTGCCAGCTGGTTGTTGCTCAGGATGAGGTGGCGCAAGTTGACCAGGCCGCGCAGCTGACCCTCGCCCAGCGAGGTCAGCCGGTTCCCATCTAGGTGCAGGGCACGGAGGGCGCGCAGGTCGGCAAAGGCGCCGGCTGCCACGTGGCGGATGGTGTTACGCGACAAGCTCAGATGCAGCAGGCCGGTCATGTTGGCCAGGTCCCGGCGGCGCACGGCCGCGATGAAGTTGTCCGCCAGGCGCAGCTCGGCTGCCCGGCGGTCTAGCGACGGTGGCACGAACAGAAGGCCTGCCCCCGGGCACAGCACGCTTAGGGGCAGGGACTGCGTCTGGCAGCGGCAGCGGCGGGGACACGGGCTGGGTGCGGCTGGCTGGGATGGAGACGAGGCGGGGGCCAGCGGCAGCAGGCAGAGGAGCAGTGGAAGGACGGCCATTTCGGGCAGGGCGGCCTACAGGGAAGAAGGCAGGCATTAGGGTGGTCTGAGGCCAGAAGAGGGGTGCCAGAGGGCATTAGGGTGGTCCAAGACCAGGAGAGAAGGTCACAGTGGGCTGAGAGCAAAAGAGTTGGGTCAAAGATGGTCAGAGAGAGGAGTGGGAGTGGTCAGACACATCAAAAGGCAGAAGAGATGGTCAAAGACTCAGAGGGATGTGTCATGGAGGGACACGGGGAGCAGAAATGGTCAGAGGAAAGGGAGGTAATTAGAGATGGTCAGAGACAGTTAGACAATGGGGGGGGAGTGGGCAGAAGGGAAGCCAGAGTGTTTTAAAGGTGGTCAAAGGATGGGCAAAGCTGGCCAGAAGGAAGAAGTGGTCAGGGTGGTGGGAATGGCTACAAGTAGTCAAACATGACCAGAGAAGGGAGGTGGTTAGAGATGGTCAAGAAGATGAGAAGTGGACAAAGGAAGGCACATAGTCAGGGGTGGTGAGATCTAAGAGAGATGATCAGAGATGGTCAGAAATGGTCAAAAGCCAGAGAGGTAGTCAGAGAGAGGAGGAAAGGACAGACGTGTCAGAAACAGCTGGAGATAAGGACAGCTGATTAGGAAGAGGAGTACGGGGAGAGGTCATCAGAGAGGAAAGGCAGCCAGAGATGTTAGAAATGATTAGGGAATTCCAGTACTCAAGAGAGACAGAGAGAAGAGAGGTGGTCGGTAAGGGCCAGAGATGATTGGAATGGCCATAGACTGGCAGTCAGAGTAGGCAGTGGGCGGAGGGCAAGAGTGATGGCAAAAGATGGTCAGAGACAGGCAAACGCTTAGAGTGAGGGGTGGACAAGAGCGAGGAGCTGGTGAAAGATGATTAGAGAGAGGCATGACGGACAGAGATGTCAAAGGTGGTCACTGAGTGAAGCAGTAGACAGAGGTGGCCTGAGAGAGAAGCGGTGGACAGAAGTGTCAAAGATGATCGGAGCGAGGAGTGGTGAACAGAGATGGTCAGTGAGAGGAGCAGTGGCTAGGAGAGGTGTCTAGAGACAGATGAGACAGATGGTGGGAAGAAACTGGAGAACAGAGTGAGAGATCAGAGACCTGGAGGTGCCAACAACTGGGGAAGAGGTCACAGGGGCAATGCTGGTCGAATAAATGTCCAGAGAGGCACGGCAGGAGCTGGAGGCAAACCCTTGGTGGTGGTGGTAGGGTGTCTGTTTCCTGGGGAAACCCCAAGGGTGCCCAGGGGGACCTAGCCCTCACTTACCTCCACCCCCAGCCACAAAGTTCCTCCCAAGTCCCTCCCCCGCATGAGGGTCCCCCAATAGCCTTACCTGAGCTGGAAGCCCCCCCGCAGGGAGCAGAGTCCTCAGGCTCCAAGAGGTCAGGGGCTAGGTCTCTGGAGGGGGTGCCTGGTCATCCCTTCTCTGTCCCCAAGGCCTCTGCAGAGGGACTGTGCTGTGTCTCAGCCAAGATCTGTGGCCATGGAGTCTGCAGACCTTGATACTTGGGGTCCTAGATCTCCAAATACACGGCTTCTAAGGGCCAGTTTTAGAGACCCAGGCTCCAGTTTGGGTTGGTCAGAGCGAGGGTCTCCTAGCTCTGGTCTTGGGATGCTAAACAGCCAAATGAAGAGTCTAGGGTCTGAGTCTCAAGCCCAGTCCTGGAATCCAATACTTGGGTGCTGGGTTCAGATATTGGGGTGCTGAGTCAAGATTTGGAGGTCTAGAGACCTCCAATTTCAGCATTCGGGTTTGCAGCAAGGACTTCAGGCTCAAACTCAGGTTTAGGCCCCTTGGAATACCGGGGTTCAGATCTTGGAATTTGAGGCCTAAATCTCAGAGTTCAGGTCCCAAATAGCGGGTTCCAGAGTATAGGTATGGGAATCTGATCCCAGATTCAAGGTCCCAGGCACAGAATTCAGAGTTCAGCTTCAGATTTGGGGTTTTAGATGCAAAGTCTTGAGGTTCAGACTCCAAAATTTGGGGTCCATATTCCAAGTCTTGGGGTTCCAGAGACTGAAGTTGAGATTCCAGCCCCAGATATTAGGTGTTCAGGCTCCAGGTCTTGGGGTCCCAGCCCCAGATCAGGGTCTCAGGCTCAGGTTTCCAGATCTCTGGATCCGATCTCGGGGTGCAGGCCCCCCGATGTCGGGGTGCCGGCCCTGGGTTTGGGGCAGCGTGGTCCAGGCTTGCTTCCCGGGCTGCGGCGGGGACTGGCCCGGAGGGAGGGGGGCGGATGCGGTGGGGAGGGCGGCAAGGCAGCCCCGGGGGCCGGGGTGGGGCGAGGCCTGGGCGAGGACAGACGGACAGACTGGGACACGCGGGGTGGAGGCACTGCAGCGCAGGTGGGGGCGCAGGGGGGAGGGGCCGCGTTCAGAGACCCCTCCCCCGCCGGGGCCGGGGCGGGGGCCGGGCGGGGGCCGGGCAGGCAAGCCGGGTCCGGGCGCTCCCGCGGCCTCCTCGCCGGGAACCTAGGGCCTCGCGCGCGCCCGCGCTTAAAGGCGCAGGTCCTGCGCGTGCCCGCGCTTAAAGGTGTAGGCAGCCCCCCTCTCAAAGGCGCGCCTCCAGCCCCACTTCCCATGGAGTCGCCCTGGCGTTGCTTGGGAGCAAGAAAAAAATCCTTGGATACAGAGAGACACACAGAGAGACACAGAGACTGAGAGACACACAGATTGAGAGAGACAGAGACAAAAAGATAAGCAGGCTTAGACTGAGAGACAGGAGTACAATGAGAGAGGCAGATAGAGAGATGGAAGGATACACATATTCAAAGAGAGAGGGAAATACACAGAGACAGTGAAATAGATAAGGACAAGACAGAGACAGACAAAGACAGAGACATAGAAAAAGTCAAAGAGACAGAGACATGGGTGGGTGGAGGGGGTAGGTGAGAGGGGGTAGCAGATACTGAACTGGGGCAACTCAAGTGTGAAGATGGGTATGTGTATGTGTGTATGTGTGTGTGTGTGTGTGTCCAGTTCTTATTCATAGCCCCGGATCTGCCTTACATCCCAAAGCCTCGGGCCCCCAAGCCTCTCTCCTGTCCCCTGGTCTCAGCACCACCTCCCTGGGATGCCCTTTCCTGGGTGGCATTTCCTTACTTGGACCCTGTTCAGCAACAAGCCTGATCTTTCAGGCCAGAGAAGAAACTGCTCCTTCCCAAGCCTCCTTGCCCTGGCTGCAAGGGGAAAACTTGGCTCCCCTACCTTGTGCCCTCTGGAGTTATAGCTTAGACCTAAAGACACACTGGGCAGATATCCCATGGAGGAAGAAAAAGATAGGAAATGGGACAGAGGCAGGGGGCTGGACAGGTTGACCCAGAAAAGTGTGTCCACTGCCTTCCCCTCTCAGGTTCACTGACTCAGGTTCACTGCCCCACAGAGGACTCTGCTAGAAATGTACTAACACATGACTCACCAGGTGTGGGGCCTGCCTGTCCAGACTATTGTGAGAAGATAGTGGAGGGAAGGGTGGGGCGTTCCACACGTCTCCCGGCACATGGTATTGCAGGAGGACAGATGTGGGTGGTGGCCTGCATGCCTGCCCTGGGAACTTGGTGATAGCAACATGGAGGACCTGATCTTTGGGACCCCTGGTCTGAAGGGAACACAGTCTTGGCCTTTGGTCATGGCCCTAACCCTGGGGGAACCTGAATGGTCACAAACCACCCCTGGGGATCTCCCTTCTGAGTAGAGGAGTAAAGCAACCTTGTTGGGGGCAGGAACATCGATGCACATCCACCCTGGCATCCCTAGCTCTGCTGAAGGTTTCAGAACAGACTTTTGGCTCCTTCCACTCATGTGTATTGAAAAACTGCAGCTAAAATTAACTCAGCTCTAGGGCCCGCCTTTCCAGATCATTAGCAAAGTTCATCAGTGCTCCTGGGCCAGCATAGTGGATATTGGTTACTCAGACACTCAAAAAGAGGATGTAGAAGTCTCAGAGACACTACAGAAGTGGTGGAGGTGGGGGAGATACAGGGAAATGCCGGGGGACAATCCGAGAGCACGCTGGAATTAGAGTTCAGTGGAACTGGATGATTTGGGGGAAATGGGCAGGGGATTGGGGGAGAAAGAGGCAGAGGATGAAGAAAGTTAATAAAGGCTGCAGGTGAAGAACAGGTTACTGCTCTGGGCAACTGGGGCTTACTTCAGCTGGGGAACATTAAGGAATCTTGCAGAACACATCAAAATGATGGTCCCCCCTCTTTTATTACCCCCTGCAAGATTTCTTCCTGCTGCATTTATCCACCAGTTGTTACCCCTTTGGGTAATAGTTGTGTCTTTGGTGGGAGAGAGTGGTACTGAGAGCCATCTGAGATCTGAGACAGAAAAGCAGAGAGGGATGCCCTGCATGAACTAAACCCGCTGGTCCTCAACATTGTAGTTGTTTTGGGATCACCTTGAACTTAACAATAGATCTCCAGGCCCCAGTCCCAGAGTTTCTGATTTGATACGTCTAGGCGGGGTCAAACGTTTGCATTTCTAACAAGTTCCCAAGTGATGCTAATGCTGCTGGTCCAGGGACCACACTGTGAGAACTGCTAGGTTAAACCAGGGAGCTCTGCAACCTGCATGGAGCTGTCCACCACAGCTGTGCCGAAACCTAGTGGACTGAGGGGACTTAGCATTTTAAGTGTGTGCCAGAGAAACCAGCATATTTAGAGACATAAAGAGGGGTTTGGGAGCAGAGAGGGGCAGAGGCAGAGATGCCGGTTCAACATTTACTGTAGATTTCTGGGCATGGTTGTGTGCTAAATGACACGGCAGCAGAAGTGTGACCAAGGCAGTGTCAGGTCTTGCTTTCATTGAGCTCAAATTTCAAAAGGAAAAAGACACATCTCCAGACAGCCCAGCGTGGTCAGGGCTGCACTAGGAGAAGCTTGGGCTAGACAGATTGGGACTGTCATGTCAGAGGCCCAGGCCACAGTGGCCAGGGTGTGACAGGGGAAGCACAGGGCAAAGTAATACTTTGATGGCAAAGCACAGGCCAGAGTGGTCAGGGCTCCTGACGGGGGAAGAAGAAGGGTGTGGGGCCCCAGAGGCAGAATCCAACCCTTTAGGCGCCCCCACCCCCTGGGCCCCAGTCAGGGAGGCTTCCTGGAGAGGGGACCTTTATGCTGAGACCTGAAGGATGAGTATGAACAGAGTAGGTGGGCAAAGGGACCTCTATATTGCTTGTGTGCCCTCATTCTATAGCATGTGCAGTCTGGGGGTCCCTGCAATGCCTGAGTAGTACCGTGCATGTGTCTGCATGTGCTGTAACCCCTCATTAGCTCCTGCAAGGGTATCCTGATGGGATGGTGTTTTGGGGGGTTCCACTCAATTGCCGCATTTACTTAATTACAACATCTGGAGAAGGGGACAAAAGCAGCGGAAACAGCCACAGCAGGAAGAATGAGGTTAAACTGCCTGAGAGCTGAGGGGGCCTTGGGGGAAGAGGACTGATCATATGCATGCACAGAATCTGCCTGAATATACACAAATACACACAGGGGACACATCCATATTCACACATGCACATCACGTACTCAGAGGCTCACCAGAACACAGATACAGCAGGCGCATGGAACACATATACACCTGGCTTCCTGTTCAAATATAGGGGACACACACATGCACAGACTCACACTCAGACATATGAGAGATCATATGTGTAAAAACACATTCTGCACAGATTCTCTCTTGCATGCGTGAGCCACATTCCCACATATATACACAAGAAACATTCAGAAAGTCGTATCAAATACCTATAAGGTATTCAAATCAATGAAGTCTGTTAAAAAATCACTTTACAAATAAACATAGGCCCTCTTCAGGTTGGGGGTTGTTTGAGCAATCATGGATGGAGGTGGTGTCCCCTTATCCTCAACTAGTCCCTGCCAACCCAAGCCTAGCCAGTGGGGTTCATTGGAATTAGCTCAGCTTTGTAATTAGCACATGAATTGATACTGAGGATTGGGAATTCATTTCATTTTTTTTAAGTTTATTTATTTATTTTGAGAGAAAGAGAGAGAGCATGAGCGCAGGGCAGAGAGAGAGGGAGAGAGGATCCCAGACAGGCTCTGCACCATCAGCACAGAGCCTGATGTGGGGCTTGAACCCACAAACTACAAGATCATGACCTGAGCTGAAATCAAGAGTCAGATGCTTAACAGACTGAGCCACCCAGATGCCCCAGACTAGGAACTGGCTTTAAAGATTAGGTCGGAAGGTGCATTTCCATACGGATGGGTCAAAAGAGAGGGGCAAGAAGACGAGTGCATACTCCCCACCCTCCCAAACATATACACTAACCACCACCGTAAATCAGACTGATGGGTTCCAGGCAAGCACTGACTTCTACAGGGCAACCACAAGATCCTGTGTATGAGGTTCTGCTTAGCTATGGTGGAAGACCTAACGTGAGGCTCAGGGTCTGCTTTAATGACTTCCACCTGTCAACGTGGAAGAAGACTTCCATAAGAACATGGGGGCAAGTTTACATTTGGGCAGAGAATGGAGTGGAATATACTGATGAGTTTTAATTAGTAAACATATAGCCAGTGGGCCACTGTATGAAAACACTATGTGAAAGCCGGAACACCACAATTGGGGATTAGAGTTTCATTTCACAGAATGACAGGGGGTGCTCAAGGTTTATTGATATCAGGGGCCCAGAGAGGAAGGGTCGGAGTATCAGTAAGTGTAATGTCAGCTACTGTAACAAAGAACTCCCTTGATTTCAGTGACTTCATACAATAGTTGATTTCTTGCCACAGGTGTCCTGCTTGGTTGGCATCTGTCCTCCATCTGGTGACTCACACAGCAGACTGGTTAATCTTGTGCCTCCATCATTTCCTGGGGCTCCAAATTATCTGCTTCCACCTGGCAAATGGGAGGAGAGAGGGTAAAGAAGTTTCACCAGCTTCTTAAAAAGCTTGGCCCAGAAGTGACCCTCTATAAACCTCCCTTCTGCCCGTATTTTATTGGAGAGAACTAATCACATAGCCACCCCAGATGCAAGGAGGGCTGAGAACATATCCCCAGGCTGGGCAGCTTCCTGCCATCGTAGTTATGCAGAGTGTACGGATAATAATGGACCCAACATCAACCACCACCAGATCCACAACCTCAGGGGGAAGCAGCAGGAAGAGGCTGTGGGATCTCCTTCCATTCACTACAGCGAATCCTGCTCCAGGGAGATGTCTCAGCCCCACGCTGACCACCCACCCACCTACCCTGGTCCCGGCCTTCGGGGTGGGTGATCACAAATTTGACTCCTTTGAGGGCAAAGTGAATCTGGCTTGATTTGATAAATCTCTAGGTCAGTGCTGAAAGATGATAGTGAGTATCCAACACTTTTTTCCCCCCAAGCATTTATTGAGCCCTCACTATGTGCCAGGCCCAGTGCTGGGAACACACCTGTGAATCAGGCACAGTCCAGGCTTTGGAATTTTGTCTCCTCATAAGGCAGAAAGAGAACAGGTAGTTTCTGGACCTGTGTTTGTCGCTGTGATATTCCATTATGAACAAGATTGGGGAGAGGGAAGGGACAAAGAAATCACCAGGTCTGCCTGCCTGTGTGTGATGGTGGGGTTGGGAGTGGAGGTTCAGTGAAGGGATGAGGGCAACATTTGAGGACGAAGTCACCTGGACCAGAAGGGGGTACATAGGTTTGAACATAACCCCTGTATTATCTGTGTGATCTATCTATCTATTATCTGTGCAGATCTGTGTGCTAATCATTAACCTAATGATTCCAGCTCCTAACACAAACCACTGTTGATTCAAGTGCTAATCAGAAATCCGATCTCTGTGAACACAAACCTGTGCTGATTCATGTGCAAACTGTAAATCTATGCTGACTGTAAACTCTGTCCTGGAGCAGGGCTAAATCACAAACTTGGGCAGGAACACCAACCAACAATTACCAACTCAAAAAGATCCACATGCTAATAGCCATTTTTAGTTGATTCATGTGCTAATTAGTATCTTGGGATAATTTAACTGAATGATCAGAGGGTGTTGCAGTCTTGAGGAAGAGAAGTACTGACTCTGAAGCCTGACAGTCTAAGTTCAAATCCCAGGTCTGTTACAGACCAGTTGAATTGACTATGGGCAAATTATTCCCTTCTTTGGGCCTCAACTTCATTCTTCATTCATTCCTTCAAGAGGCGGGCTGGCTGATAGCACCTCATATGGCTGTTGGGAGGATTAAATAAGATAATTCATGTAAGAAGCTGGGAGCAGTGCCTGGCACAGATGTGTTTACTCTATAAGTACTAGCTGTAATAATGATAACGATAATATAGAGCCAACAGTTACTGTCCTGATTTCATTTAATCTTCATAGTGGCCCCTACCTCCAACTTCTTCACCACCACCACTCTTCCTTGGCCCATGTCTGGAAGCCTCACCATCTGGATGGGCTTCGCAGAGGTTCCCAGGGCAACCCCGAGTCCCCAAGTCCCGTCCCCGCTGCTGCTCCTCTCAGCACTATTACCAGGTCGGGACACAACCCCTCAGTCGCCACTTGGGGGCAGCAACACACCGCTCAGCCGCTGCGCGCGCGGTGCATTGTGGGGCACGTAGTCTCGTGGGCGGTTTAAGCGGTGCTTCCAGCCTGGGAAGTAAACTGCATTTCCCAGAAGGCCACGCGACACCCTCTGCCTCACCTTGCTCAAATCTGGGGGCTGAGACCTCACCCCCACCTAGAGCGCGCCTCCGGAGCGGCGCGGGGAATTGTGGGGTGGCGGAACGGAGGCCCGCGCCCCGTGGAGGAAATGCTGCGCCGGCGCGGGCGGTTGGTCTAGCCAGATGGACCTTAGCGGGTGGGTAGGGGCAGCAGCTGTTCAGTCCCGGGAGTCGCCGCCGCTTTAAAGCAACGGCGTGGGGGCGTGGGGTGCTGCGCAATCCCTTACTCAGGGAACTGCGAGACCAGACCCCCGCCGCTGTGTATGCCCTGGAGCCAGCTCAGCCGACTCTCGACCCTTGCCGGCTCTCGAGACTGTTCAAGGCGCTTCAGTCTTAAAAGAAAACAATCCCTTCCCCTTCTTTTCTCTCTTTTCCTTCACAGTTACCCCATCTCCCTCCTTTAAAAAACAAACAAAATAAACAACAAAAACCCCACCCTATTATGGTAATGTTCAACCGTGCACACGGGAAGAATGGGGTAATGACCCTCCAGGTACCCAGCACCTTTCTTAAACAATTATCAACGTATGGCCAATCCTGTTTTATTTTTTCTGCCTCCCTCCCTGCAGAATTAGTGTAAAGCAAATCCCGGACGGCATATTTCATCCACAAATACTTTTATATGTATCTCTAAAACACAAGGTTCTTTCAAAAAAATAACACCTTTATCACACCTAAAAACAAATAATTTCTTAATTTTATTCAGTATCCAACCTGTCTCCAGATTTCCCTGATTGTCTTATAAATGTCTTAACTGTTGACTGGTTCAGATCAGAATCCAAACAGGATCTATGCATTGCATTTTGTTGGTACCTCTCACAAAGATACCTGTCTGATTGGTTGCACTTGGTGTCCTTCGTTATGTTCTTCTGTCTCCTGTATGTCCTGCAAACAGATGTAGAGGCTGCGTCAGATTCAGGTGTTTTGTGTTTTGTTTTTCGATTTTTAAAAAATGTTTATTTGTTTTTGAGAGAGAGAGAGAGAGACAGAGCGTAATCAGGGGAGGGGGAGAGAGAGAGGGAGACACAGAATTCAAAGCAGACTCCAGGCTCTGAGCTGTAAGCACAGAGCCCAAAGCAGGGCTTGGGCTCATGAACTGTGAGATCATGACCTGAGCCGAAGTTGGTTGCTAAACCGACTGAGTCACCCAGGCACCCCCAGATTCAGGTTTAACTTGGGGGTAAGTAGGCTTCATGGGTGATGTTGAGTTCTTTGATCAGGAGGCACATAATAATGTCTGGATGTTTCTTTGCTTGTGATATTAATATCCAATGTTGGGTTTGAGAGTTGTCAGCCTGACTCATCCATTATAAAAACACAGCCAAACTTTAAGAGGGAAGTGTCTACATGCTCTCCCCTTCATCTCTTTCCCTCTGTTTCACACACACACACAAAACCCCAATAGTTTTGTGTTGCTAAAGCTCTTCCCTATTGCCAAACTCAAGAGTCACTTCTCTATCCTTAACTCAATGATCCTGCCATGATGGGCCTATCCTGTCCTGGCCAGTATTAGTAGGCACTAGCCACACAGTGGGCTAGCTAGTCCTAATTGAGATGTGCTCTAAGTATAAAATACATACTGGGATTTCAAAGATTTACTACAAAAAAAAAAAAAAAAA